GAGAAAATGACGTTTTGAGTAAGAAAATACATAGGTAGGGACATTCTGCACCAAAAAATCAAACTTAAAGACGTTTTCCACACAACCCATCATAGGTAGGGACGTTTTGCGCCAATTACCCAATAATTATAATTAAATAAATAGAAAAGAAATAAAAATAAAACTTCATCTTCTTTCCCCCACCTTGCCTTACGTTACCCCACTCCACCACCTCCAAGCCCAGGAAACCCACCCTAGTGTAGGAGTGTTAACGAGTCGAGCCGAGCCGAATTGAAACTCGAAACTCGGGCTTGACTTGAGTAAAAATGGCTTTAGCTTTTTTTTTTTGCCCAAGCCAAGCAAAAGCTCGGTCAAAATATTTAGGTTCAACCCGAGCTTTCAGCTCGAGCATTAGTGAGTCGAGTCGAGTCGAGCCGGCTCGATTTTTTTTAATTCTTTATAAATCTAATATTTTTAATGAATTTAAAATTTGTACAATTTATATGTATTATAAATAATAACTTAATATTAACATATAAAAAAATACAGTTAAAATTTAAAAAACTTTAAAAAAAAATAAAAATAGCTATCCCTACCCTAGTCGACCGATTCTGAGCCACGCGTCGACTCGGCTTGGCGATCCATTTTGCTATCCCTACCCTAGTGCCACATTTATGTCCTTAACCTTTTTAGCCCTTGTTTGACAATCATACATTTGAAAAAATAGAGTTTTGAATAGTGATTTTTATGAAAAATGCGTGGTTAAAAAATAGAAATTTTTTTTGAATTTATGTGTAGGATATTTTATTATGTGAATGTGTGGTTAAAAATAAGTACATGAAAAAATGAGTTTTAAAAGTATGATTGTTAAACAAGGGCTTAATACATTTTTATCTTTAATATTTTATTAATTAACAATCTTGTCAGTAACGGTGTTTTTTGTCCGAAAATTATGTTAATATCTATTTATTGTTTTGTTTTTACTTATTCAAGAATACGAATAGCAAATAAGTTTTTTGTTCTTTCTTAAAAAAAATTTTTGGACAGAAACTGTCATCAGGCACAAGATTTGCTAATTAATGGAATATTGAGAATAATAATGCGATGAAAAGAGTTGAGGACGATAAAAATGAGTAAATATTTCATACAGTTAAAATATGGAGCACTTAGAAAAAAATATGGTGTAAATATATTTAGCTTCTATATAAGTCATCTCGTTAAATGCACATTCGGTATACTTTACACCATATAAGATTATGGAAGGTAGGATTAGGAGGGATAATATTAGGGATGGTTGAATTAGGAGAGAAAATGGAGATTGATTTAATACGGGGTTCGGAGTTATATTGTATTAGAAAAATTTAAA